AGCAGACTTGTCTTGTATTAGTCGAGTATTAGTACAAGACACTGAAGAAGTCTGCACATTGTAGACGAAATACGCGTATCTATCAAGGATAAGCAAATAAGGCAGTGGAATTAAATGGAAATTACTAATCCTCCTCTCTATCTTTAAACTCTGGTGATAAAATTAATATTGGCGCCCCGAAAAAGACGGTTTTGTGTGAATTTTGTTCAGGCGGGTTTTTCTTCTAGAAAATTTATGAAAATTAACTCTTTAAGAGGAATTATTTGTGTCACCCTGAAAAGGACGCTTTTGGTTTGATACGCAGCTTCGTCTGTCGAGTGGCAAGCAAATTACCCGGCTGTTTGCCGATGAACAACACGCACTATATCGTGACGCCACTATCACAGGTTCGTATTCTTCTGGACGCGGCAGGTTTGATGCACATTACCGGGTTGTTCGATCTTTGTCGTGGTTGGAGAATTCTGAGACCTCCACGGATACGGTGAGCTAGTTTGCGCTTGGGTGAGCGTCGACATATCGATAACGTGCTTGATGACGGTGGCCCACAATGCTTTCTCACGATGAGCAACTGTACCCAAACAGTTACAGTGGGGCTTCATCTCTGCTACTCTGTCTAGAGCGAGGGGGGCGACACATCTAAATCTCAAGATGCTCAACAAATCTCACACTAGCGAATCTATCTTCGAAACATCTTCTTTCATTTGCCGCATTTACTTGCATCGCTCATCACTTTTTTGCAGGAAATCTTCAGAATCGTCATCAATATTCTTTCTATCTACTCAGTATGCGCACAGCTAGCCACAGCAAAACACAATCTTTTTTGCATCGTAGATAGAGTCATCCCCCTCGGTCTAGAATGCTCTTGCAAGCAGCCTTGGCAGCAAGCTGCTTGTGGAGCCTTTCGAACACGTCTGAAGTTCGAAAGGAAATGCGGCACCGGCTTTATTCGTTTGGGACCAACTATGTGATGTCTTTGTTAGGAAATATACCTTATGGTGTAAGCAAATGTATGGGAAATTTTAGTTAAATTTCTTAGTTGTTTAACTATTTGCACTATTTGTATTATATGCAACAAAATTGCTGGAGTAAGCCTCCGTCGAATGGCATATTGCATGACATATTTCTCACTAATGCTTTGGAGATATATGCGTTCAAAACCTTACCCTTTTCGTTACATGCTTATTTTTCGTACTTGCAAAATGTATCCCCATATAGAAAACAAAGACGTAGTCCTACGTCAAAACACCATGTTCATGTAAAGTGATTTGCTGTTGAATTTGCACTGCTTGTCAAACATTGCAATTCGATGTGCAAATCCCTTGGAAGGGATCATAGGCGTAGTTAATGAACAGCCCCTTACCGTCTTCACTTATTACCCTAATAAAATTGTTATGGTTATTTTGCTTAACAACGCCGAACACGTTGTATCATCCAAACCATTTATGGAATAGTTCTATTATGTGGGTTATCGTTCGTTTATGGTAATTTATTTTGGGTAGGCATCAGTATTTTTTGTAAACAAAATAGAATTCTCGCGTTACTTTTCAATAGGTCTAATCTACATCTAATTCTAATTCGACAAAGATGACAGGAAAAGTTTTTATAGCCGAGTTATTTACGAAAGAGAGAGTCGATGAAGAGAATCGTTCAAGGTAGATTGGTCTATTTGAAATCGGAGTAGGTAACCTGAATGGCCCGACGTGAGATCGGGATGGTCAACATCTAGACCGATCAGTTGCTAGACCGGCTAAGAGATAGAAGTGCCCGGTAATGCGGAATAATTTGGCAGGATAAGATCTAGCAATCGTCCGATTCGGTGTAAGTTAAATCAGTACAAAAGAGCACAGCAAGCCACCGGCATATGCGATAGCGCCCCTGCAAACCAATTTAGTTGTAGTGTAGAGCGGGGATTCAATTAAGATGAAATCGAACCTAACGATTCCACATGGTCACGGATGATCATGCAATCGTTTTTTTTTTTTTTCAATCGGGAGGCAGGTAGACAGTGCCTATCCTGAGAATGGTTTGTGGAAATTCCACGACAATTTAGAGCTGTTTCAGTAGACCGATGGGCGAGTTACTTAGGTGGCTGGTCAGTCTCGTTGAGATAGCAATCAGAACGCCTCCACCGCGTGATTTTTAACTGTTCAGGGGGAGATCGGTCTGTTCTGAAGACTGATAAAAGTGATCCGAAAGTTGTGATGAATAGATCTAGTCGTTTCCGCCTCTACGATCAAACCATATTAAGCCAAGAAAATCTAGTCGATTTTAGTCCTCAGCCCACGCTCGTTTTGATAATAAATCCGGAGGCCATTCGAGGGGCAATTCCGGAAGCTGGAAAACGAAGGAAATTTATGTACCGAAAGTTCTCAATCACAATCATACTCGCCTGGAGATGCAGGCTAAAAGCCCCCGATTTTTTGTTGTTGTTTTGCTTGACAGCAGCTTTTTGGCGTCGCATCTCCATATGTTGCTGTGATGCGAAAAGTGAGAAAGCAAATGACAGTGATCTTGCTCACTGAGAAATGTGAGTTATTCGAGGCGCCTCAAAAGCAACTCTGAAATCGCTCATGATTAGGAGCTGTCTTGCCCCTTGGGGGGAAACCTGTGGGAAACACGACAAAATTATACTCGGCGACAAAACTACACAAAATGGGATAAATTGTAACACGCAGGTTACACCGAGGGTTACACTGGGTATTGCGAACACAGCCGATTTTATTTTGCAAGTCAGCAGGAAAACAACTTGAAAATTTTCCGATGTCACAAATTGTTTTGCTAATGCACTGCTCTCAAATTGCATATACACACAGTTCAAAAAAGTAGTGTAAATTTCTGTTCAACTTGATGTACATAAATGGAGCGTCACAAACAATATACGTTTACATTATATATCATGTAATGTTCTGACACATTTCATGAAATGTAGCAAATATTGTATACAAAAGCCCATCTTTGTAAACAACATTGTTTGCAAGTTACTCGTTTGCGTGAAATGAAATACAAGTCTACGTTAATGAATGTTTACATCACAATTAAAATTCAGAATTTTTATCTGTGCAGTTGTGTTCGATAAAATAGCAGCGCCTGCCGATTTTCATTCAAAATTGTTAACTTTGACATAATGTAACTTTGTTATCTTATGATCAATTGAGCTGAAACGTTCACCAAAGAACTACAAATATGTTCAATTTTACAATTACAAAATATTAAATTTTTGGAAGCACCTACCGGAAAGTGAGACACCAGGTAAAATTGTTCAAAATAATATCGGCGTGCATAGTCAATTCCCTTGCGTTTGATGTTTACACACTACCGCCATCTGTTCAGCGTAGTGCACACCACAGTGTAATCAACAGATGGCGGTAATGTTTTAGCGGCGATGTTTTACAGTGGGAAATATTCAATGTGTTATTTCTGTATGTCTGTGGTTTTACAATAAGCATATCGGTGTGGAAATCTATACGCATTGGGTAACGCTTTAGTTCTTCTTTCAAATACAATTAGTTTGATGTGCCCAATTTTGCCCAACTTCAAGTTGTTGGTCTTGGAAAAAGTGCTATTTTTGTGGTCAAAACCATAAATAACTCATAAAACATAAAACATAGAAACTTACTTACAAAGACAAAATGGCGTATCTTTATAATATAAACTAGTTTGTAGAACATGTCGATGACGGGAAACGGCTACCAGAAAAGTTATTAACAAAACATTGATTTTTAGAAGAATCCATACAATAACTTATCAAAAACTGAAAGAGATAGAGAGTTGATGTGTTCTACAAAAATGCTTGTTTTAATATTATCTAAAACTTTGCCAAAGATACAATTTTGCTATCTCGACTATTAAAAAGAAAATGTTTTTGCCATCTCTCTGCTGCAGGATTAATCATGAAAAAGTTAAGTTCAAATGAACCAGCTAATCATGTACACAAGAAAATAATCCGTTTTCGCCTAATTACAACAGTACTTTTGGATCGCCAATACTCGCTTGTATAGAAAGGGTTATAAATAGCTTGATATTATGATCATTTACATTTATTCAAGCTAAATATATTCGTTTACACTACTGATTCCTGGCGCACGGAACGCTTCCCTTTGTTCCTATCCAACGAACTTCACTTTAAGGCAAGTCCTTCAGCCTTAAAAAGCATCTGAGCAAAAACTTGCTTACTCACGCAATAACCCAAGTCCATTTTCCATTAAGCAACCTCTCGGTTATATTCAGCGTAATCAATTTTCATTAACCTCAATAATACCACCACCCGTTCGGTACAAAAGCCTCGCACATAAAATCCTTTTTGCCTTAACCCGACGACACTCACTCCCTGTTTCCTTCCCGGCCTTCTGCTGCTGCTCCGGCTTCGAGAACGAGTATGAGTGCCACTCAACGAACCACTCACTCACACAACTCAACAACCAGCAATCTCTTCCCATCATTATCCGCTTTTCCACTTTATCCACTTCTTCGATGCCTACTTAGGTACCTACTTTGGCACTGGCACCTGAAAGAGGCGGAGCCTCGGCGTCCAACTTTTCACTCTCTCGCACATAAGCACTCTCTTCCAAACAGCAGCCTCTCAGCATACTGCGATATACCTCCGCTTCCTGATCCTGATCAAACTCTCCACTCCATTAAATCCGGCCTGCTTTGTTCTCCAGCAATGAAAGAATTTCGCACACCAAACCAAACAATTACCATTAATAATAACTGGATGTCATTTATCAATTTCCGCCTCCGGCAGCGCACAAAGATAATAGTCCAACGTTGCTCGCACTGACGCAGCCGCAGAATCAATTGTCCGTGACAATAAATTATCTCGCCTAAGAGCGTCCATTTCCGCTTCTTCCGGTGTTTATCGAACAAATGCCTCATTGACTACGACGACGACGACCGGCGTCCCACTGCGTGGGATTCCTGTGGTTTTGCACTGTACCTTTTTCCCTGTCCCAAAGGTGTATGTACATAGAATACTAATGAGTTTTTTTCTCTCTTTGCAGCATCCCACACACAGCACGGGCACCAGCAGCGATTGGCTCAGCAGGTCAGTCCGGATAGTACCGGATCGCCGGTGCACTCGGAGCAATCGTACCACGGCTTGGGAGGAGGCTCCGGTGGAAGCGGATCCGGCATCAACGGTCAATGTCCGAGGACACCGAGCCCGACGGACAGCGAAAGGCAACAGTTGAATGCGGATGGCAACACTGAACATTCGGACGATGTAGACATCGAAGAAGGCTGCGACGATGAGATCGATATGCTGGAAGATACCGAAGACAACCCGACCGAACGATTGACCAACGGGATCGGACACAAGAAGAGGAAACGGCGGGTTCTGTTTTCGAAGGCTCAGACCTATGAGCTGGAACGGCGGTTCCGGCAACAGCGGTACCTGTCCGCTCCGGAACGGGAACATTTGGCATCGTTGATCCGGTTGACTCCGACCCAGGTCAAGATCTGGTTCCAAAATCATAGATACAAAACGAAACGGGCGGCGCACGAGAAGGGTTCCATGGATCCAGGAGCACATCAAGCCGGAGGTCTTCCGTCACCCCGTCGGGTAGCGGTTCCGGTGCTGGTTCGGGATGGGAAACCCTGCCTCGGCGGAGGCAAACCGCACGATATGTTGGCTGCCGTCCAGACGGCTCACCTACAGCTTCCGCCGGGCTTTCAACATGCCAGTTTACTCCACCATGCCGCCAGATGGTGGCCCTAGTCGGCTCGTGTTGTCAGCTCTCCGGATGTAAATAGTTTATCTTTAAAGTCGTAGTACAATTCGTATCGTCGGTCACTTTCAATGTTGTAGATGTAAATCAAAATCACAGATTTTAGTCTAACAAAAAAAAAAGCTATACAGGAGGCAGTTTTCCCTAGGTCGAAAGCAAGAGTCTATTTAATTATATTTAGTTAATTTATAAGAATGAGTTCAGCGGATCGCATTGTTAGACTTGGCAGCACTGCAATAAACAGTAATGATCCAAGTAACCATTGAACATCTGTTGACTGAAGGCACGCCATCGTAGTAAGCTGAGTTGCTAAGTTAAAAACCTTGGAAAAATAAATATTATCGCAAATCAATCTGGATCATTCTATACTCTCAAGCATATAAGTATGTGATACAATGTACCGGAAGAATTAAAATCATAAATAAATTCTCCCATTTGAATGGACAAAAAAAAATGCAGCAAACTTGACTTTCATTCCTTTATTCCGATGATCAACAAAATAAAACGAATATACGAGATTTTTAATCCTCTGAAGAGGCCGCGCAGCCGAACAATCGGACAAGATTCCTTCCCTAAAACTTCCGCTCCGATCCGGGGCCGAAAGTCAAAAAGTCGATCGAAAACCGGATGTCATTTCAATCCAATAAAAAAGCCGTGTCCAAAAGCGACCGCTGGGACTCTTCCTTCCTCCGAACAATTATCGATTTGGTTCGGTCGTAATGGAAAAAAATAAAAAGAGACGAACAGCATCCGACCGATTCATCACAAAAAGAGTCGTCGTCGTATCTTCAAAAGAGAGCAACTTCAATGGGAAAAGTGGCAATTGTCATCGTCCTGTTGGAATGTCCTTTTTCGATGATGTTTTATTTTTTTTTTTATTGCACGGAGAGGAAGTCCCGTACAAACGTCACCATGGATGGTAAAGAAAAAAAAATCGATACAAAACAACAATCCAAGCATCCTTTGACAGGCCGAAGCATGCTACTCGAAGCGAAGTAGGCGACACGAAAATTATTGCTGAAATGGACAGGAAAGGACGATGCCGTATTGTTGAACTTGGATGGGATTCCTACTGTGTGGGTGAAGTTTGCTTTTTTTTTCTGTTTTCGTTGCATTGTTCGACGGTTGTAAAATTGTTCGTACTCTGAAGAGGGTGCGTGTGCGTGACCGTTTCCGGATTTCCCACTGGCCGTCGTTGGGATTGTTTGCTCGGACCGGAAGATGCTCTGTTTGATGGGCAGAATTTACTTGCGCGGGATGGAAAATGTTTATGCATAAACGTAGTTGTCTTGCATGGTGCGATTTTCTGAACTTTGTGTAATTTCAATGCTAACAAAACTATATCCAGCTTTCCATGCTCAGTAATGGCGGCCTGTTTGTATGAATAAATGTATCCTTCACTGTGCTTTTTGACACTATCTGGATGTTCGAATTTCAACCCCTTCCCTTTCCCTCTCCCAGGAACAGAAGAAAATGGAACAACATAAGCCCTCCAGTTAGTGTCAAAAAGCACAGTGAAGGATACATTTATTCATACAAACAGGCCGCCATTACCGAGCATGGAAAGCTGGATAGTCACTTTGAAAATAAATCGAAACAAATAGGTCTCCAACTGTCTCCAATATCCAATATCAACAAATTCCCCTCACGGTCAGTGACGTTCGAGGGCGTACACCATTCACAGTTGCATAAAACTGGGGTATGCTTACAGATGTACTTGAGATTAAAGATGTATCGCCCCCCCCTCGGGTTATAGTGTTGGTTATAGTACGTTCACTCAAAAAATATTGAAAGCTAAATAGTATAGAAGTTACGCTAAATCGCAACTCTCCGTGCCGACGCAAAGGTACGGTTTATTCGAGGGAATGTATTTTCTGCTTCTTTTTCGATTCACGATTAATATTATTGTTTTCAAATCAAAATTCAAAGTTGTCTTAGGAAGGTTTTTTAATTATCTATTTTTGGGATCTCGATCGCTGGGCGACAACGTCCCGAGCGAAGGCAGAACGCACATACATAAGCGATATTCCATATCTGGGGATGCGAAGTGAAGCAGGAAATTTTACACAGAGATTTTCTCGAGAACAAGGATTCTGCAACGATCAATTCTTCTCAAGCGATGGTTTTTAATAATAGTTTAAAAATACCAATCACTCAACTATCCTGGTACACAAGTCAAGCTATGTAAACAAGCAGGATTGGAAATAGGCAAACAGTTAAAATTATAATTGTATTTATATAAAACACTAAACATACGACACCAACGTGAAATAATAGCAACAACAAAATAAATACAAACTGAAAAACGCAATTTCAGTATACACTGAACGAATTCCACTCCGATAATCAGTTTTAGTATAATTTTGACGAAAATTTTAATCGTAACAATGTATAAATTTCGATTAATCATAAAATGCAGTGAGTGTTCAGATGGAAAAAATATTGTTTTGAACCAAGGGGTGAGACAACATTACTCTGAGTTCCGTTTTAGCTGCGAGTAACTCGCGAGTAACTCAATGTATCTCAAAATTAAATCGACGTTCATCGATTTACTGTCTGTTTACTCCTCGGCTAACTCCGTTTACCACCTTCATATCCACAGTGAGCATGCATAAGGGCGTATACGAGATGATCGATTCTCTTAAACGATTTTCTCTTTGCATTGCCACAGCTAAGCGAAATAATTTTCTAGAATGTGTTCAATGCAGAGTTGTAACAGGTTGCATTGGCTATCAAAAACAACAGCAAACGCACCGAGAAACGTTAATTCTAGCGAAAATCGACGAAGAGAATCGATCATCGCGTTTACGCCCTTATGCATGCTCACTGTCGATATATTAGACGTCAGTCTTGTTTGTAAACAAAATAAAATCCTCGTGTCACTTTTCAATAGGCCCTTTCTGCATGGATCGATTCGCTTCATCGTCACGGCCGTGTTAAGATATTTCCGAATATTTTGGACACCCAGATCGATGGAAGACGCAACAATCTAGCATCTAATACGACAAAGACGACAGGAAATGTTTTTGTAGCCAAGTTATTTAGGGTAAACGCTCCTATAGTTGCGGTACGTTAGAAGCGATAGGTTCCTATAGTTGTGTATTGAGTCTCCATACACAACTATAGGAACCTAACGCTTCTAACGTACCGCTACTATAGGAGCGTTTACCCTATTTGAAATCGGAGTTGGTAACCTGAATGACACGACGAGAGCGGGATGGTCAGCATCAGGGTTGCTTCCACTCACCTGCTATCAAAGAATATAATTCGGAATTATGCTATCATTAGATGCAATAATGCTATGTTGTACTTGTGAGTAACAAGAAGAGGTAGTTAAGCATGTGTTCGACTCATAAAATCTGTCAATTTCGCTTTGAGAGCGTCACAATTAGCGATCTTATGATTCGTGAGCGTTCACTCAGAGTGAGCGTTCACGAGTCGTAAAATCGCTGATTGTGACGCACTGAAAGCAATTTTGACAGATTTTATGTGTCAAACAAATACTTCATGACCTTTTCTTGTAACTTACAAGTACTAATTAGTATTATACTATATCATGATTTCATAATTCCGAAAAACATTTTTTTATAGCAAGTGAGTGGAAGTAACCCTGGTCAGCATCTAGACTGATCAGTGGCCGGTAATGCGAAATCATTTGCCGGGACAAGATCTAGCAAACGTCCGTTTCGGTTGGGAAAAGTGTTTACTTGTTTACAGTCCGGATAACATCGTTCCTAGGATGTGTGGTACCACCGAGAACTGGAGCGTGGTGGTGACTGCGGTCACCCACATAGTTTCGAAATTACAACGACAGTGGCGTGCCGAGCAGCAGTTGCCTACTGCCCGGCTAGATCGATAGAGTATTGCTAGAGAAGCGCTACAGCGGCCTCTCGCACGAAGTAATGCCTTCGGGCGGTTCCGGGGAGGTCAAGGGCCAAGCGCACAGGGTAAGGTTTAGTGGGTCGAGAGTGCAATTCTCCCATCCCCACACCCTGAGTTCCTTCTCAGGTGTCTGTGAGCAGATTCCCCCCTGTATAAAAAAGAAAAAAAAAAGAGAAAAGACAGCAGCCAGAACGCCTTTTGACCAACAATCAATACGAAACTAACGATTTTAAATTGGCTCACCACTTTAGTAGCCTATTGGTCCCAAGCAAACGATTAACGTACCCTATTCTAGTTGAAATTCTATTACTACACTATGTTTGTTTTGATTCGCTATGAAAGTTTGACAGATAACATCAGGGGTGTGTGGATTCATGCAGAACATGCAGGGGTGAGTGAAATAGCTTGGGACTGCTTGGGACCGTTGTTCTGGTACTGAGTGAGCCAAAAATAATAATGATTTTCTTCGGGACCCAGTGGTCTTAGAGTTACCTCTATGTTTTGACTGTGCAGGGGAGATCGGTCACTTCAAGACGGAATAAAGTTATCCGAGGCAACGATGCATAGATCTTGTCATCCAGTCCCGCTTCTTTCAGTACGATCAAATCCAACAGCCAAGAAAAACGAGTCGATTTTAGTCCTCAGCAAACACACGATCCCGGGAGCTGGAAACCGAAGGAAATTTAGGACCGAAAGTTCAGAATCCCAACCATACTCGCCTGGAGTTGTAGGCCAGAGGAACATAGGAAAATCCACGAACCCCTCATTTTATCTGTCAAACTGTCATAGCGAATCAAAACAAACATAGTGTAGTACTGGAATTTATACTAGAATGGAATACGTTAATCGATTTGCTTGGGACCAAAAGGCTAGTCAAGTAGTGAGCCAATTTAAAATCGCTAGTTTCGTATTGATTGTTGGAGGTACAATCACAAACGAAGTGACAGACGACTTACTGGCGAAGAAATCCATTAAAATAATGTGGTTAACTGTAATAGAATTTTCTTGGAAGCTTGTGCCATCATCCACCAGATGGGTTAGTTTTTTTGTTTTGATTTGAACAAAGTTGATTTTGTGTACAATGATTCTTTGACAGTGTGCAAAGAGTGCGTATCATTTTGTCATTTTTTTATGCATTTCAGTTTTGAGTAGAGTGAAAGAGATAGAACCAAAACATTCTAGTACATTCGGTTAAAATGCTAGTTCAATCTAGTAGTAGTGTTGCCATGTGGTACAATCCAGTAGTAGTGGTGTTGCCATGTGGTACACTGAAAAATTGCAATAGCAGGTTAGTCACCAAAGTTTTCGAGCCGCTCCGTCTGTCACTTCGTTTGTGGTACAATGCTGTAGGTGGCTGAGTTTGATTCTCGGTCCGTTCTAAGAATTTTTCGGTTTGGAAAATTTCTCGACTTCTCTGTACATAGAGTATGATCAACCAGTAGAAACTAAAGATTCTAAATTGGTTCACTACTTGACTAGCCGATTGGTCCTAAGTAAATCGATTAAGGTACCCCATTCTAGTCGAAATTCTAGTACTACACTATATTTGTTTTGATAAGCTATGAAAGTTTGACAGATAAAATGAGGGGTTCGTGGATTTTCCTATGTTTCGAGGGGTGCATTGATTAGCTTGGGACAAAAGATAGTACCAGAGCTGAGCCAAAAAGTAGAGCACATTTCTTCGGGACCTTCAGGTCTTAGTGTCACCTCTATGGTATGATTGTACTTGCCACACAATTATATTAATGCTTAATCAATAAATGCGGAAGTGCATCTAGAACACTAAGTTGAGAGCACACAATAAACTAATATGCGATAAGCAATAAGCTTGAAATGCGAAGAAGAAGAAGAAGAATAAAATATTAGGTAAATACTCCTAAAGAACTACTCAAGATTTAAAGAAAGGATATGTTATAGAGAAAGGCAGAATTTTTATTAAATTGCAGTGACTCGCACAGAAACTATTTGTTATGTTAACTGTTCTTGATTTAAAGAAGGAAGCATATTTGAAAGTTAGTCACCTATTTTTCCTCCAACCACATTATATAGTACATTGCGACCATTTGTCCATTCCGAAATTTTGTCCATTCGACCTTTTGTTCATTCGACCTTTTCTCCATTTGACCTTTTTGTATTTACGGAAAACTCGGTATGTGAATAAAAGGTCTCCCTATATACGGAATAACTAACGTGCACATTTACTGATAAAATAGAATTTATTACTTAAAGGGTGTCCACGATGAAATTGCCACACTACGAAATTGCTCTAACTTTTTAACCGTTGGGTAGAATTTAATGAAAATTTGGGTGGATTTAGTTCATAGTGCATTATTTACATCCTGCAAGTTTTAAAGTCCTGTGATCAAAACTCGCGGAAATGGAGTCGAAAGAACAGCTCGTGCGTGATAAAATCTTGCGCATTCATCACGAGAACAAGGATCTCTCGCATCGTTCCATCGCTAAAACGTTGGGAATCGCGAATTCCACGGTGTCGCGAGTGATTAAGCGGTTCGAGGAACGGTTGACCACCGATCGGAAGCCCAGAAGTGAAGGAAAAAGTATTCCGTACAACACCAAAAATCACAACCGCGTAGTTGGGGCCTTCAACCGAAATCCGAACGCCTCCGTTAGGGATGTGGCTAAGAAGCTGCACCTAAGCCGAAGTTTTGTCCAGAAGGCCAAAACTAAGGCTGGGCTTCGAACGTTCAAGGTACAAAAGGCCCCTAATCGCGACGAGAAGCAGAACAAGTTCACCAAAACCCGTGCCAGAAAGTTGTACCTCAACATGCTGACGAAAGTTGAATGCTGCATCATGGACGACGAAACATATGTGAAGGCCGACTTCAAACAGATCCCCGGCAACCTGTTTTTCACGGCAAAGGATAAGTTCAGCGTTCCGGAGCATGTCCGCACTCAGAAGATGTCCAAATTTGCGAAGAAATTCCTGGTTTGGCAAGCCATCTGCACGTGCGGGAAACGGAGTGCGCCTTTCGTGACCCAGGACACGATGAACGGACAGGTGTACATAAAAGAGTGCCTCCAGAAGCGGCTGCTTCCTCTCCTGAAGGCCCACAACGTCCCAACAATCTTCTGGCCGGATTTGGCCTCATGCCACTACTCCAAGGACGTGCTGAAGCGGTATGCGGACAATAAGATCAATTTCGTGCCGAAAATGTTCAACCCTCCCAATACTCCGGAGCTCCGCCCCATCGAGAAGTACTGGGCGATTATGAAGCAGCACCTTCTTAAACGACCTAAGGTAGTGAAGACAGTCGAGGAACTGAAGAAAGTATGGGTTTACATGCAAAAAACGGTTGATTCACAGGTTGTGCAGAATCTTATGGCCGGGGTTAAGGCCAAGGTGCGGGCATTTGCGTATGGACTGTAAATAAAATACGAGTAAAATGGTAAAATGAAGTTTAATAGTTATTTCTCAATCCCTGAAAATTTGATGGCAATCGGATGAAAACTCGAATTTTGCGAATCAATTTTGTGTGTGGCAATTTCATCGTGGACACCCTTTAGCTAAAATACACGCGACATTCTACTGACTAGTTAAACCGGAAGTCATTTCTGAATAATGACAACTGCCCATTACACATACATTTATGCGCCTTCCAACATCGTCGCAGTGACGTATGAACTGTCACTGGAGAGCTCAGCGTCGCAGTGAGCGCACTCACAGGTGTTAGCACTCCGACCGAATACAGTCGTCTCCAACATCTCCTCTCTTAATAAACGTGGTACGGGTCAAGCCACATCGGCGGCCTTCGATTCCTAGAAGAACGCCGAGGAACTGGTTACCACTAGATTTGCCTCAACTGCTGATTCAAATTCGGTTGAAATTGATGTTGACGTTGACGTTGATGGGGACTGGACAGACGACAACGGACTCATTACAGGATCTCGCGGCTGGTCATGCCGCGGAGTAGATGATTCTCGTTGTAACGTAGAAGCTTGCAATGTTCTGGCTGATGAAGAAGCTTGCTCAGGCGATGGTGTGGAAGTGGAGCTTGCGTATTTGGACCTGGTTCAGGCAAGTTCCAAGCATCAAGTAGAACATCCAAGGGCAATTTCTGTTCACAACTGTTGACTGGGTGAGTTGACTGGCTTGGTGCTGAATTTGTCACGGTTCGGCTTCGTAACTGATTAATGTGTGAGTTCAGCATTCGACGGTCTTCGATCCACACCTTGTCCATGGCGTCTCCCAGGCATTGTAACACGATGCCTGGTGCCCATTTCCAACTGTTTCGTGTGTAGACCTTGGCGTAAACTGGATTGTTCTTGCTGTAGGCTGTTTGTCTGGTTTTACTGTTTGTTCTGGATTACGAACTGTTGGTGGACGAAGCTACTCGAGGCATGTCCGGATTTGGCGACCAAACATGACCTTAGGTGGCGATTTGCTTTCCGGTAACGAGCGATTTGGTGTGCTCCGATATGTAAGCAGAAATATGTCCAAAGCTTCGTCGATTGCTCCTCTCCCCTCTCGAATCTTCTTGACGGTGAGTTTGAACGTGTCGATAAAACGTTTGGCCAGCCCGTTCGACTGTAGATGGAACGGGGCTGTTGTAATGTGTTCTATCCCATTCGCCATGCAGAAGTTGGCGAATTCAGCGCAGGTGAACTGTGTTCCATTGTAGATTGCGGGCATGCCATCCTCGTCGCCAATTTTGTATTTACGGGAAACTTGGTATGTGAATGAAAGGTCTCCCTATATACGGAATAACTGACGTGCACATTAACTGATAAAATCTTCTTCTTCTTCTTCGAATTTCAAGCTTATTTGTGCTCTCAACTTAGAGTTCTAGATGCACTTTCACAGTTATTAATTGAGATCCTTCGATGCCTGTACCATTTTTGCATTGGTATAATTGTGTGGCAAGTCCAATCATACTTCTATCATAGAGGTAACTCTAAGACTAGAAGGTCCCGAAATAACGTGGTCAACTTTTTGGCTCAGCTCTGGTACTCTCTTCGGTGCCAAGCTAATCGATTTACCCCTCGAAACATAGGAAAAACCACTAACCCCTCATTTTATCTGTCAAACTTTCATAGCGAATCAAAACAAACATTGCGTAGTACTAGAATTTCGACTAGAATAGGGTACGTTAATCGTTTGCTTGGGACCAATAGGCTACTAAAGTGGTGAGCCAATTTAAAATCGTTAGTTTCGTATTGATTGTTGCTTCTATGCCCAGGGAAGTCGAGAAATTTTCCGACCCGAAAAATTCCTAGACCGGACCGGGAATTGAACCCAGCTATCTCCAGCATGGTCTTGCTTTGTAGCTGCGCCTTTACCGACTGAGCTAAGGGAGGCCCTAACTGATAAAATAGAGTTTGCTTTTTTCAGAAGCTTTTTCCAGAAGCTTCTATTAATGTTCTAGATACTTTTTCTGGAGACTTCTTATAGAAGCTTTTTTTCTGGAGGCTTCTTCTAGGATTATAATCTAGAATTTTCTTCCAGAAGTTTCTTCTAAAGTCTGTATTCTGTTACAATGTATTCCACAAACACTTCTGGTCTACACGCTCGCCTGAGATAAAGTGAACGATGGCCGTTCTCTAAGCATCGCAGAACCCTTCAGCTCATCATCCGTGACTCCGTGTCACCATTTTGCCGCGGCCATGCGCGCCTTATGCAGCAGTCGGCCGTTAAGCATGGCCGTATCGTCTGCCCAGTGGGTTTCACCGCAAGTGTTACACAGATTTATTTGAATGCTCGATCACATGGGCATATTTAAAATATTGTATTGGACCTTTGTAACAGAACGGTTACACTCTTCGGTCCCAAGCTAATCGATGCACCCCTTGAAACATAGGAAAAACTACGAACCCCTCATTTTAGCTGTCAAACTTTCATAGCGAATGAAAACAAACATTGTGTAGTACTAGAATTTCGACTAGAATGGGATACGTTAATCGATTTGCTTGGGACCAATAGGCTAGTCAAGTAGTGAGCCAATTTAAAATCGTTAGTTTTCGGTACACCCGAATCTGCACCGAGGTTCACTGATTGGAAGTGATTTTCTCTGCATGTTTCGGGATTCTTCTGAAGCTGAGGATCCTTGGTCGATTCGCGATTTGTAGGACAAACGTAAATTAAATATAAAAACATTTAATGTTTTTTTATTATTTGTTTTACCAAAGTAGTCATTGCCTCGCACTGTCACCTCTTCAAGAATAACTTTCCTTGGATCCCTTCGCCAGTGTGCCTACAATTTTCGCTCCTTTCTTGTGAATACTCACCCAGTTCCCCCGTTTAAATTCAAGATTGAACAAAAATGAACTCAAAAACCGAACGCAGTGCATCCCCAAAAGGTAAAACCTATAAATTTTAAGGATAAGGCGTTGTCTTGGCTGATTCACGTTGTGAAATCAGCCATGCTCGCCTTGTCCTTACTACCTTCGAAAGGCATGATTCTAGTACCGTTGTGCTCCTTTAATCCAGTACCGCAAACGACGTACAAGATTAAAGAAGTACAAACGGTACTACAATCATGTCTGTCGATGGTATAACAAGCTGCATAACAGCCCAAATTTAACCCTTGCAGTCATGAAAACGAGAAAGCAGATCACTTCGAAAATCGACTCCGGGGTATCCAAAAAGTCATCAACGCTGACTCTGATCAAATCCCGCCAACCCAGCACGGCTTCGCGAACCTCGAGCAAGCAGAGCATCGACGAAAAAAAGCCATCCGGCATCCCCACCAGTAGGTCCCGACCGGCAACCAGCTTCTCATCATCGCGCTTCTCGCAGTCCTCCAAGCTGAGCATCGTCGACGACAAACTACAACAGGGCGTCCACAAGCTGGGCCAGTTGCCGTCCTACCTGCGTGGCAATCGACCCTCAACGGCTGTCAGTAAGCTGAAAACTACCGAATCCGAAACCAGAAGGATACTCGATAAGGGCAACGAAGATAGCGAAGCGGTCAAGAAGGTGCTCGAGTTTGACAGCATGCGCTTTGAAAAATTTCGAAACAATTTGAGTCAACAGTACGGAAGCTACGCCAATTCGAAAGCCGCACTGGACGGGATCGAAAGGAAGTCCCCGCTGAAGCGGGATAAAATAAAAGAACCGCATGTGTCATCCCCAGCGAAAGCGACTGATTTGGAACAGGCAATGGCTAAGATATGCACCGAAACGGACCAGATCGATTCGGGAATACAGGTTGGATGCACACCGTGCGAAGGGGAAGGTTCAGGAGATGCGGCTTTGCAGCAAGCGGTTTTGCTGCGGAAAGAACTGGAGCTGAGCGAGGTGCATGGAAAGGTGCGGCAACTGGAGGAAAAATGCGATCGGCTCGAAGCAGATTGCAATCAGAAACGGGAACGGATCTTGGAACTGGAAACGGTACTTGCAGCCATCAAAGAACGGGAGCATGATTTCGAAAAGGTAGTATGAGTTGGTGATGATTTTTTAGGTTGAAGTTAGTTAAGCTAACTGAAATGTGGAAATCATGCGGTTGACCTTATCTTTTCGAGATGGGGTGCAGGAAGTGAACCCTAAAGCGACAAACCTAACTATATATCCTGCAGCCCATCCCAAAGATCGAATCTTAAGAAGACGATGTAAATCGTTTGTTTTTCAATGTTTGCATAGGAAACCAACAAACAATTTGAGCTGATTAAAAGCTGAAGAAGCAAATGTTTGCCTGAACAAACTCTTATTCAGCATTCAATGTTTCTTGAGAACACCTCAATCTAAAAAAATATCACTATCTCATTTTACCTTTTCGATACCATCAAGAATAAAGGCAAGGTTCGTACATTGAGTGCACAAATCGAGGACTTGAAGGCAAAACTAGTCGAAGCAGGTAATACTCTCGAGGATAGGGAAAAGCAGCTCTTTGAATCAGAGGAAAAGGAAGCTGAAAAAGGTAGGACTAACTGATGTCAAATCAGTTTAATATCCACGATTCAATCCCTCAGATTCAATGCTTGAAAAACAGTCGAAAGAAATGGAAGCCTTCAGACAGCAGTCCGAAGAATTGTCGGTAGGTATTTCCTCGCCTGCAAACTAGAAGTCTATTAAGCTAAACTTTCAATTAAATCCAGCAACGAATCAACCTCCTGACTCAAGAAATTGCAGACAAAGACGCAACGATAGCAACCTTGACAACGGGAGATCCGACGGAGACTGTCGAAACGGAGCTGCAAGCTCACCGAACGGAGGTTGATGCCTTGCAAGAGGAGGTCAGAAAGCTGCGGTTCGAGAACAATATGCTTGTCAGCGTCAAAAAGCAGGACGACATACTGCTTCAGATCCGTTCCAAGCTGCTGGAGAGTTTGGAAAGGAGCAAGGAAATGTTCAAGGCACGGTGTGAAGAAATGACAGGCGATGGAGAGGTACATTGCTGTTTGTGAGGGATTCGGTTCGATTACTCACTAGATGTCACATTTGCTTTGAATCAATTCGCAGATTGGAGTCGCCAGTCGAGTGCGGGCTGAGGGATTCGATATACTGTTTGAAACTTTGTCAGAAAAACAGCGTCAATGCTGCAAGGAAGAACAAATTATCGGTGAGATCGAGCAGAACAACCAGAAGTGCAAGACGGAGCGTAACAAATTGCTGGAGATGTTGAAGCGACTCAAGAAGGAGAACCGGCAAATGCGTGAGATTATGTAAGTTGATGATTGGATTGATAGGATATTTGGGATTGATTTAATCTGTTCAAAGTAGGAACAACTCCGGTCCGGATGTCCTGACTGAATGCTATGACGAATCCACGAGGGACGACAGTCACTTGAAGGGTCAACTGTTGGACCATATATGTCAGTTGTTTCCCGAAGAACCATCGCTGCAAGAACCGACAGTGGAATTGGATAATGTTGAAGAGGAAATTTTGAGTAGAATCAACTACGACAACGAACAAATTTCGAGTGAACATACGAGGGATGCAGAATCCCGCTAGGGGGTTAGGTTGTTTATTTTTATAATTTATTTGTATATCGAATATATGTACTAAACGGTCTTTGTTTATTCAAACATTTTAATACTTTTGGAAGAGGGATATTCGAGAAACACCCTGTATTAGGTATAGCAAGTTATAAATACTTTTGTGATTGTGTTCACATTTTCAATTTCTTTGATCGTTTATGGCAAACATTAAACTTCATTCTCATTTGAACGTGAGCGCTCCGCTTCGGGCAGTGGAAGATGACTGGAAGCCATCCAACCTATACGGCAAATTCGACCCGTCCAAAAGGAACGCGTGTAGAAAGGAAGGTGTAACCTGATTGATGGTGGACGAAGCTGTCTGTTAAATGCTCCCCGACAAAATCAAACCCAGAAATCGAACGGGCGAAAGCTCAATCCCACCCTAGAAACAACATCTTCGAACCAGTTCGTCTGATAGACTCAGAAGTACGTGGCCTCGTAGAAATCACCCAAGCCCATAGTGTCGCTGATTGTGATGTCTGCCACCACCACCCAATTGCACGCGTTCAAGATTACCAAGGTACCTTCAGTATACTACTACAGTATGTACTACCAATGAAAACCAATGTTAAATGTACCACCGATGAACACCATCAAACATCACCCCACTGCAGATCAGTCATGCTTCGGAAATGGTTTGCGAACCAGATAAGCTTCGCATCTGCAGTTCTACAGTGTCGTCATGTCACAGTTGCATAGTGCCGTCATGCGGGAACCCCTTGGTAGGCCCCACCAAAACCCCCTCTACCGCGAATTAAATTATAAAGGTTGAGCAAGGCCTCACAAGAACCGATCGGTAGGCCACCCATCGGCATCGGGGCCTCTTGAGACAAACTCGTTCAACAGAAGGATGATGACAGAGTATGTGCAAAATGACGGGATCGTTGATAATAGGTATATGCTTGATGTCGGACTGACGGAATGGAATATAATTGCATTGATCTGTTTCTATTAATCCTATACTATTGCGCTAAGGCAACCGTACATAGGTCCAGATCTGATGGAATATTTGAGGTTAGTACGTATCAACATCTCTTAACAGTGCAGGGACTTCTATGGACATCCCAATAAAGTTCGGTGAATTTTCCATCGAAACCAATGACAAGCAAGAATGTCAAGGAAAAACGAAGAGGAAAACGAAAAAATTTTCATCCCAGAAGACCCTTGGCAAAACAACCTGAACGACAAACCCGCCCATCTACCCCCACCGCCCCCAACTCTCTATAATGAGTAGTTTTTGTCTTTATTATTTATTCGCATAACAAACTTGCAAACCAGTCGTCGCACTTCTCGCCTATAGCATTCCATACCGTACTGTCGTATTGGACAACCACATCATCTAGCCATTTGACAAACCGTATGGACAAGACCTTCTCTACCGACCATAATGTAGAAGAACTCTGTTGGCATGAGATCCGAATAGAAGCTGTTTTGGAAGAAACTACTAGCAGCTGGGAGTTCCGCTAAGAATCGGATGAGATTGGTTTGTTTTGAAAAGATTCATGGTGCGGAAAATATTTACAGATTTGTCCATGGCATTTTTCGAACCCCTTAGCAACGATTCGCAAAACGTTAACACTCGACAGTGATTCCGTTTATATTATATTGTGTGAGACCTACTTGTCAACGTGTGCCCCAGCATGCTGAACAGTGTGCCATGCTGTGTCCCGGCACAGTGTGCCATGCTGTGTCCCGGCACAGTGTGCCATGCTGTGTTCCGGCACAGTGTGCAGAGTTAATTACCCCTTGTAAAAGAACTTAAGAGAGATTTAACAATAATGAATGAGTATTGGAACTAAAGTTTAGAGTGGGATGCCCCTAGGGAGCTGACGAAGTGTTGGTGAATCTCCACAGCAATCTGGGAGATAACGGAACTTTTTCGCAAAATCGTTATTTCTGAGATACAACCTTCCCAACGAACATTGACAGTTGAATAAAAGCTTATTCAGGCAAAATTATGCTTTTTCAGCTAAAAAATAGCTTATTCGGCTTTTAATCAGCTCAATTGTTTGTTCGGTTCCTGGGCTGAATGATCTTTGTTAATCGATTACAATTGGTCTTCAAGTTAGGCAGACCAGTACACCGGTACTGTGTACGAATGGTGTTACGGAGTGTAATGGGGTCTTTAGTACAGCTGCCAAGGTTCAGAGTGTTACTCACCTGTCTGGATAAAGGCACGAGTTGTTCCCTGGCCGGGGAAATCACCTCCTCAATGGTATGAAGACATCGATCAACGTTTTTCGACGTATCCATTTGTACATCGTAGTTGTCCGATGTATCGACGCAGTGTTGAAACCGTTCCCAGTTGACACGACGATAGTTGCGCCGGAAATCTTCAAATCGGTTCACAGAGGATCCCACCTCAGGTACTACCGGATAGTGGTCCAAGCTGAGTTCCTGCAAGGCAATGGCCTCATATATGAGAACAAGCGTGGCCCAGTGAGGTCGAACGAAGACAATGGCAACAGCACACCCCATCAGTCCAGGATCAAATCACAAATTAGCTTTTTTGTTTATATATTTGTCGATACAATTTTGGAGCCGGTAAAGTAGAAGTCGATGAAGTAGGATATTTTAGATCATTGAACTATGATGTGCAAGGCTATTGATATCAACATGTGAGGCACATAGACTCCAACCAACAATCAATACGAAATTAACGATTTTAAATTGGCTCACCACTTTAGTAGCCTATTGGTCCCAAGCAAACGATTAACGTACCCTATTCTAGTTGAAATTCTATTACTACACTATGTTTGTTTTGATTCGCTATGAAAGTTTGACAGATAACATCAGGGGTGTGTGGATTCATGCAGAACATGCAGGGGTGAGTGAAATAGCTTGGGACTGCTTCGGACCGTTGTTCTGGTACTGAGTGAGCCAAAAATAATAATGATTTTCTTCGGGACCCAGTGGTCTTAGAGTTACCTCTATGCGGTCATGAGCTTAAGAAAGTGTGAAATGAGCTGTATTAATGATTCGGTAGAAATGTATACGGAGCTAAAGTCGACGAACACTCTATGTCGATTTGATCTAAGTAGGCTATGCTTCGTATATTTGAAAACCCAGAACTCGTGGCCTTTCATTCCCAGGAGCTCGAAGAGGTAAGTAACAATTTAGCTGCAAGCTACAGCGCGTTGAGGGATTCTCCTTTGAACCAGGTGGAAATCCACACTTGGGACGTTCGGTGGATTACCAGATCCTTCCAGAAAATCGGCTAGCAGTGTAAGTTGATCCAATTACTTTACCAATCGATTCAGTAGAAGAGCTTTTGATTTCAACGCTGGAGAGTGTAGGCCACCACGGTTTTTGGGAAGCGTAAGATTTTGAAAGGAGATCTTGAACTGTTGAGGGTGCCCCATCCACAGGAACTTTCTCAGCTCAGTTATAATGCGAGCTTCGTAGTTTTTTGGCAAGTACACGATAGAGGCCACGTACCACATTTTTGAGCACACATACGTGTTTAGTAGTGTCACTCTTAGAGTAAGTGGCAAGTTTCTGGGACTTTGTTCCCAAATCCGCTGTTTCATACCCGATAAGATCGAATTCCAGTTGAGATCTCCTAGATACCTAGGATCTTGACGTGGTTCTCAATTGAGAGCCACTCGGTAGCTTCAGTTAAGTTGATGTTGCCTATCATTAAACCCACAGTTTTGCTTCGGTTGAGAATTGCTCCTGCTTCTTCACCAAAGTTTGTGAACAGCTCAGAGACTTGCACTAACATTCCTTCGTTTTCCAGGAACATCGATATGTCATCTGCGTAAGCATTAATTATCACACCAGGAAAAGCTCGCCTTAATACGTCCAATACAGGTTGCATATACAGTACAAAAAGTAACTGGTGGAGGATCATTGACAAGGGATCTCCTTGACGGAAAGAACGCTGGATGTGGATTTCGGGAGTTAGATGACCATTCACTAATATCCTCGAAAAAGGATTCTCCTTTGAACCAGGTGGAAATCCACAGTAACTCTAAGACCAGAAGGTCCCGAATAAATGTGCTCAACTTTTTGGCTCAGCTCTGGTACTCTCTTCGGGCCCAAGCTAATCGGTGCACCCCTCGAAATATAGGAAAATCCACGAACCCACCATTTTATCTGTCAAAATTTCATAGTGAATCAAAACAAACATAGTGTAGTACTAGAATTTTTACTATAATGGGGTACGTTAATGGTACCAATAGGCTAGTCAAGTAGTGAGGCAATTTAAAATCGTTAGTTTCCACCGGTTGGTATCTCCCCACTCCGGCTCTCCTTAAGGGGGGAGTACACTTTGATTTTTCAAAAAAATGCATTTTTTTGGCTTAAAATGTTCCTTGGGATGTATACTTTAATTTAGAAAAGACTCCAAGTCCGCCAGAATATTCCTTACCGCTTTACGAAGCGATTTCCTAAAACATGTACCGGCGCGCTGAGAGAGAGATTTTACCTTTAAACGCGTTTATCTCGAAAAGGGGTTTTTCAAACTGGCGTGGGAAATAACTCTAACCAGTTATCATCAAATTTGGATATCGCCTAGGTTTTCTTGTTCAGAATTAAAATTTGCTTAGAAATACGTATCCACATTTTCGATTTTGTCAAAAATGGATTTTTAATCCACGATTTTGTAAGCATTTTTAGGGTGAAAAATGGACTTTTTTTTTCCTAAGGCCACAACTTTTGAAAAAATTAATTTAAAAATCATCGGAATACGTATTTCTAACCCAAATTTCATTACTAATCAGGATTTTTGTTCGATTTATGTTCCAGGATCACATGGAAAGGAGTATTTCCGACTTCCGCGCGACCTGGTGCACCGGCCACGGGGAGACGCCAATCGAGTTCAAAAAAATACAAATTGTAGTTCGAAGGATGACTAATAAATGGGTTATAACATATTTGCCCTCCCTGAGTGTTTTATTGCTTAAAAAAATTAACGAAAATGCCTTACTTTTTGGACGTTCAAAGTGTACTACCCCCTTAATACGACAACAC